CTGGGCAACCCATTCCAGGGTCTCAAGCTAAAGGATTTTTAAAACGAAATTTAATTCCCTGTGGTTGGTTGTAGTCCCTCAGTCAGTTCGGTGGTGATCCGGGACAGGCACCCAGGCTTAGAATTGCAAGCAGAGAAACCACATCAACCAAATATTGTCTGGTGAATTAACACTTTGATAAAGAGTATGCAGGTTTTTTTCCACCAAAAACACACACCACAACAACAAAAAACCATTCTCAAAAAAAAATAAACAAATCAACCAAACAAAAAGCAACAAACGACACACCAACCCAAACCACAAACAGGCTGCAAACACCATGTATAGGAGGCCAGGTTTATTAATATTTTATACTGTTGCCATTAGCATTGTTACACTGTATGCAACCCCTTAGCCTACATCCATAGAACTCACTGAAACAATGCATTCCCTTTCTCCAAATGCTTCATAAACCACAGAAAACTAAGGCAGTGTGCAAGAACTTATCCAGTAGGAATTTGATTCGCCCCTCTACTCTGCTCTTGTGAGACCCCACCTGGAGTACTCTGCCCACCTCTGGAGCCCCCAACAGAAGGAGGACATGAACCTTTTGGAGCAGTCCCAGAGGGCCATGAAGATGATCAGAGGGCTGGAACACCTCTCCTATGACGACAGGCTGAGAGATGATCTTTAAGATCCCTTCCAACACAAACCACTCTATGATCCTATGAAATGGCACCTGCTGACAGCCCAGTGAACAATTAGCATCTCCAGTTTCTGCTCCCACTTATTAATTCTTATTCTCAGACAGACTCTGGTAGCAGTTGGCTACTGCACAACTGATGGACTGGGAAGCATTTCCTGGCTCCTTTCTCTTCAGCATGTGTCCATGTACAGAGCTGCTTAGTTTTGACCATGTATACTCTGAGCTCCTATTTAAACCGAAGTAAGTTTGAAGAGTCAGTTGCAGATCTAGGCCCAAACCAATAAACAAGTACCTGGCCTCTCATACTCAGCTGCAGGATGTTTATTCGTGGTGCAGTGGAGGAGGGGAATAAGAGCAAGACTGGAGACCAGAACCAGTCGTGCCCTGTCAGCACAGGAGTCACCTCCAACACCGGAATGCTTGCTTCCATCCAGAAGAAGCAGAAAATAGCATCACCAAGCCTACACAACAGAATAGCTATTACAGCGTTTCCCTGAAATATGTCTGCATTTCCCAAATGCATTTGAACCTGCACACTCAAGAAGGCCTAAACAAACTGAACTGTCTCACTTTCTTCATCAGTATTTTAAAAATTATTATATAAAAAATAGATACCATACGAGCTTTAAAAATAAATCGAAGGCAAATCCCTTTCAGCTCTACCAAGAAACAGCGATAGGTCTCTGTCCTTAGGAGATGACCTTCTACTTTGGAAGGCAAAAGCATAGACCCAGGCTGGAGGCTAGCAGGATTTAAGACTTAAGAGTCTGTGATTGCATTTCTCACTGAAAACCCACAGCCCTAATTAGCTGGCTCTGAGGATTCTAGAATCAAGCATCTAGAATTCAGAGGCTGCAATACATGCACCTCAAGCCATCCAAGTCCTTCCTGGGATGTAATTTCAATCTTCCATGACAGTTGATAGCTACAGGGATTAAACAGTCAAAAGATAAAACATAAATTATTTTTTAATTTGATTCATAAGAAATCATTTGCAAATCATGTCCAAGATAATATTTTAATTCTTTTAGCATTAACAATGCACCATGAGTGTCAGTATCCCCATAAAAGTATTAATGTAACAAAACTTACTTTCTTGGAATTGTACAACAGGGAGACAACCAAAACCTGTCCCAAAGCTCTGGGTATTTGAAAATCCCACAGATCAGATCAAAGTACAAAGCAAATACAGCAAGCTTCTTTTCTGTTAGTAGTGAACAGTAACAAAAAAACAGTATTTTTAAAAGGTGACATTAAACACCTTATATTCGTCATTAACAGGTCTGTTGCGTGCAGCAATTCCATAATAAACTCACACAGCACAAATGCAACTTGCATACAGATACCTAGGTCCTTAAATTTCCACGTGTGTGATCCTAACAATCTGCCTGACCATGGAAAAGAGCATACTGGTTAATTCTACACTGCCTGCCCACCAGCAGCTCAGGGAATGGCACATGTCTTTTTGCCCAGTTCCAGACAATACCTGGTGCTATTAATGGAGAAACTTTGACCTTGAGTTGTCAAAACCAAACAATAATCATCATGAAAAAAGCAAATTCTTGCTAGGCATGTATTTCAACAGCTAATGGAAATAGAAGAAAACAGAGCATAGTACTATCATGCTAAGTGATATTTAGGCTTCAGTAAAAAATAATAAAAAACTTATTTGAGAACTATGATTTTGGCTATCAAATTGGATTTACACACAGAGACCAACAGTGTAATCTACCAATATCAAAACATATCCACAGGTACGTGAATAGTAAGTATATTAGGCTACTTTGGTGAACAAATCAGTAAGATATTGTGAACATTATGCTACAAGACAGTTCAGACAATCCTCAGATTATTAGGTTTCTGTCTGATATTTAGAATTATGTTCAAGTGAGCAAAACATGAAATGAATTGTTATTTTAGTAAGAGGCAGTATATCTAAAAATCAATGATCTTCAAACACCTTGACAGATTAATATACATTCCTTTCTTTAAAGTAATGCAGTTTGCAAACCTATGTAACAACATTTATGTATTAACTATATTAATACCAAGCTTTAGATTCTATAAACAGTACATACTGAAGCTTCATTGTTTTAATAAAATGCAGCTAACGGTCTCAGCAACTTATAACATTTAAGATTAAGTAATTTTATCCCCTCAGTGTCAAAGTACTCAGTACTCATCGTATACATTTTAATTTTCCTAATGCATATATTTATTTTCATGCATCTTCTAGAGATAATCTATCCACTGCTTTCTTACAGGATAAACATGAATCAATTGATGAAAAAATGCCCTTTCTTCTTAGTGTTTTGTTTTGGTTTGTTTTTTTTTTTCTCTTCAATCTGAGATCCACAATACACCCTCCAGCCCTCAAATTCTGAATCCCAAATAACTTAACAGTAAAAATAGAAATTCTGTTTTGGAAGAAAACATACAAAATATACACCATGTAGTACATGCACCTAAATTTCTTGATTGTCAAGTTGTAGTGCAGTTTTCCACTTTGACATACACAACTTTTTTGGTTTTAGAGACAATAGGTTATTTCAATCGTCTTTGCTGGTTCCATTTTTTGCCATCTTTGGTAGCCTTTGTCCTTTTATGTAAGCGTTGTACCAGAAGTGGAGAAACAAGGCTAAAAATATAAAGCCATATAGCCAAATAATAAACATAAAGACTGGATACTGGTATTGACAATCATCCATCATGTAGATTTGTTCTATATGGACTGTAATTATAATAAACTGGACCTGGAGAAAAAAGGTGAAGAAATACTTTAAATAATGGCAAACAGTACAGACGTTTAAGAGAAGTTAGCATGACTTGCATGCAGAAAAACCAGAAAGTGTGGTGAGCGTTTTAAAGTGACAGAGATGCACCTGTGAAGTCCCTTTGCCAGAACATTACTCCACTGAAAAACACTTTTGCAGAGTAAAGAGAGAGAAGTTCTGGGACCATACTAGGAGAATAGGACTCTCTTTTGGGCAGTTCAGAGAATAAAAAAAGGAGGCAGATAGCGTTTGACCAGTGACAAATATGGGGCTCCTTTAGAAAAAAATAGCTTTTAAAAAAAAACCCAAAAGGCAACCATTATAAGATTAGTGAACATGAATTCTCACCTTCCCCACTAACCTGTGATACAAAGGTCCACAGGTCCCTAAAACAAATTTAACTGAGGATTTAAAAAAAAAAAAAAAAAAAAAAAAAAAAAATGAATTCCACATTAACTCAAAGTTAATAATCCACTGGAAATGCCTCCAAGAGAAAAAGACTTTCACTTATAAATATTCAAGCTAAATTGCTCACAGTTACACATGCTTAAATGAACTATTTAACATTAGACCTGGTGCAAGCAAATAGCCATATCTCCTTTCCCTCCTCCATCAGCATCCTTGCTTAGGCCAAACTAATTGTTTAGCCAGAATGTGAATTTTTAAAATTGGGCTATTAAAAAAACCAGGCATGAAATACATCCTTTCAAAAGTGATCTAATACTTATAAAATACTTAATGTAATTACCCCAAAAGTGTTTCTTAATGCTCTGAGTTTGAAGGAGGTAAATCCTCTAAACAAAGAAAATATTTTTCCCCCTTCCTCACTATTAGTCACATGTATATTCTGCATATTAACTATGTTTCCTTGGTGTAAACTTACATTCTAGTTACTTATATACAGGCAATTAGTTTTGTAAATATATTTACCAAGTACTGCATAACTAAATACCTCATGTTTGTAAATCTGGGATCATAGTGAACACTGAAGTCAGCAGATTTAAGTATAAACTGCAGGGAGCTCACAGCTTTTGTTTTACTCAATTAGAATGTGAGCAAACCATCGACAAACTGCAAACTGCACACATGAATCTCACTAAAAGTACAAGTGTGCTGCATCAACTCTGTGTTAGCCACAATCAGCTTTCTGAGAGGTATTTATGTCAAACGAAGTTACTCACAAGTTGTATAGCTGTCATGTATTTTTTCCACCACAAATATTTATAATAGGCTGGTCCCAAAGAACAGATTCCGTAATAAGTGTACATGACAACATGGACAATAGAGTTCAGCATAGCATGAAATGTTCCTAAACCACCTGTAGAAAAACAAAACATTTTATTGATCAGGTATTTAAATAGCCACCTCACATCCTACTAGTTAGTTCTGAGTTGGGGTAGGGAGAAAATAAACCACAACCAACCAACAAAAAAAAAACCAACCAAACAAACAAAAAAAAACCCACCCAACAATCTACATACCAACAAACCTACAGACTCTGATTAACCCTCAAGGTATTTAACCTGGATCGGGTTGACACCAATTCCGTTGGATCGTATTAATTTCCTTTCTCAGGAAAGGGTTTCCTAAACATTTCCAAAAGAGCAATAAAATCTAACTGATCTAATTATCTGTAAAAGCTTTTAGTGGGATTGTTTTTTCTTTGGGTTTTTCTTGGGTGTTGGGGTTTTGTTTGTTTGTTTCATTAAAACTTGTATGTGATTGAGACACACAGAATTTAGTAGAAACTGTTTCTCCTGGTATACACCTCTTTTCTAGACATTACAATGAACTTTGCAAAGTTCTGGAGGATAAGAAGTAATTCTCTCCCTTATAGAGATTTCTTAATTCCCAGGGAAAGAATCGCACAGATTCCAAAAACTTACTTTCTGAAACTAAGTGAACAATGGCTCTGTTGAGACCCTCATCTCAAAGCATACTTAGGGTGAAAAGGAAACCTAAGGCCAAGTAGGCCCCTCTGGGGCATACTCATGGCTGAAACTGACAAGATATGAACAATTCACAAAACAAGTAAGGAAGCACTTCCTTTTCCATTGGGTCAGCTGTGGACATGGGTGATCCTGCTTAAAAGTGTTTTTATTTCAATGAACACAAGAAATTACAGATAAAAATGATCCAAGAAGCAGCAAAGTACTTTTAGGAGAAATACAAACATGGAAATACTGAGCCTCAAGAGGAAAAGAAGATTGCATAAAAGCAGATATTTAGTAAGGAAAAAAAGCCAAGTTTCCATTAAGATTATCACTGTGCAGACTGAAGAGGAAAAAAAGGTCATAGCAGGTAACATCTCAGAGCCAAGTAAGGCAGCCAGATTGGGTCCCTGTATAACAGCTACTGCAATCAAGGAAAAGTGATGGGTGACAGCAGTTGGTGACTCTTCTGAGAGGTACAGAGGCACGGATTTGCCAACCTGATCCACCTATCCAGAAAAGTCTGCTGCTTAGTAAGGTCTCCTATCAGGATATCACTAAGAGACTACTAAACCCTGTATGTTCCACCAACCACTATCCACTGCTGTTTCATGTGGGCATCAGTGATACAGCCCAGAGCAACCTGGAGCATCAAGAGGCACTACAGATGAAGTGAAGGACTGCAGTGAATGACTATGGGGCACAGGTGGTCTTCTCATCAATGCTCCCAATCAGAGATAAGGGTCTTGAAAGGGCCCATTGAATTAGGAAAATCCATAAATGGTTACAAGAGTGGTGCCACAGCCAGGGATTTAGCTACTTGGTCCACAGGACTCACTTTAGGAACTTGGTCTCCTGGAGGCTGATGGAGTCCATCTTTCAGAAAATGGGAAAAGCATCTTAGGCCACAGGCTTGCCAATTTAGTAAAGAGGGCTTTAAACCAGAGTTGCCAAGTGTCATAGTTACAGGGCCTGGGATCAGTTTATCACTATGTGGGTACAAACAAAAACTGTGTATTCTATACCCTGTATGTCATTGCTCATGGGCTGCTAACAAATAATTGGTAGCAGCTGCCCAGGACAGACCTCACACCCCAGGCTACAACAGAAAAGGAAAGAGATCAGGGGAGATGTTAACACCTTCACATCCATCAGGAGGATTCCACCCTGTTAATGGGCCCATCCATGCCTCGCCCCATGACTCATAGAGAACTCCCTTGGGAGCTATCTCCATTTAATGGGAAAGCAAGGACTCACTGCATGACTCTTAGAATGACATCAGCCCATTGTGAGATGCTCCAGCCAGGGGGAGGAGCCAAGTGCTGCTGGGGTTCGGGACAGCACAAGGGGCCTTTACCCACTGGATTTGAGGGCTGGAGCAGCTCTCCTATGAGGACAGACTGAGAGAGTTGGGGCTGTTCAGTCTGGAGAAGAGAAGGCTCTGAGGTGACCTTCTTGTGGCCTTCCAGTATCTTAGAGGGGCCTACAAGAAAGCCGGGGAGGGACTTTTTAGGCTATCAGGTAACGAGAGGACTAGGGGGAATGGGGCAAAGCTGGAAGTGGGCAGATTCAGGCTGGATGTGAGGAAGAAGTTCTTCCCCATGAGAGTGGTGAGACCCTGGAATGGGTTGCCTAGGGACGTGGTTGAGGCCCCATCCCTGGGGGTCTTTAAGGCCAGGCTGGATGAGGCTCTGGGCAGCCTGATCTAGTGGGAGGTGTCCCTGCTCATGGCAGAGGGGTTGGACCTGCATGATCCTTGTGGTTCCTTCCAAACCTGACAGATTCTGATTCTGTTTTAGCAGAGGACTTAGTAGTGTTGGCTTAATGGTTGGACTTGATGATCTTAAAGGTCTCTTCCAGCCTAAAGAATTCTATGATTTCCAGAGGACATGAGCTACCAGACCTTTCTATGGGATCACTTCAACAAGACTACTTCATCTGGACTGCTATCACCATCCTAACTAACAGAGTGTCACGTTGTATTCTGACTCTGTCAGTCATTCTTTCTGTACTATTGCATTTCTTTTTTTTTTTTTTTTTTTCCCCCCCTATTAAATTGTATTTCTGACTTGGAGTCTCTCACTGGTTTGCTTTCAAACCATTACACCAGGGCAGGAGACCCTCAATCCATCTCACTTTAAGGCCAGTGTTAGGAACAGACACTCTGAGCCTGAAGGACAAGATAATGGAATTCCAGCCAGTAAGTCAGCTTCCTTGGGGGCCCAGCTTAAATGCCTCTGTGCAACTGCCTGGGGCATGGGGAACAAACAAGAAGTCACAGATGTGTGTACACCTACCAGGCTATGATATTGTTGGCATCACTGAGATGTGGTGGGATGGCTCTTATGATTGCAGCATGGGAATCAAAGGATACAAACTTTTTAAGAAAGACAGGGAAGGGGGAAGAGGAGGAGATGTCACCCTCTGCACTGATAGTAAGCTGGAGTCCATGGAGTTTGGCCTGGGAATGGAGGAGGAGCTGACTGAGAGCTTACAGGTCAGGCTTAAAGGGAAGACGGGGAAGGTGAAATCATAGTGGGGGTTTGCTACAGATGACCTGACCACGTAGACCAAGCAGATGAAGCCCTCTAGAGACAGATAGGAGCAGCTTCATTTTCACAAACTCTGGTACTCATGGGGGACTTAAACCACACTGATAGCTGTTGGATGGACAGCACAGTAGAACACCAGCAATCCAGGAGGTTCCTGGAATGCATTAGTGACAACTTTCTTTTCCAAGTGTGATAGCAACTGAGAAAAGGTGCTATGCTGTACCTTGTTCTCACCAATAAGGAGGAGCTAGTGGCCAGCATGAAGCTCAAGGGTAGCCTTGGCTGCACTGACCATGAAATGGTGGAACTCTAAATCCTTAGAGCAACAAGGAAGATTCTAAATCCTGGATTCTAAATCGGAATGATATGCATTAGATGGATGGACCACTTAGTGGATAAAAAATGGGCTGGACGGCTGCACTGAAAGAATTGCGGTCAACAGCTAAATATCTGAGTGGAGACCAGTAATGAGTGGTGTTCTTCAAGGACTGGTACTGGGACCAGTGCTGTTTAACATCTTTGTCATGGACAGAGACAATGGGTTTGAGTGCACCATCAGCATTTTTGCAGATGACATCAAGCTGTGTGGTGTAGCCAACACGCTGGAAGGAAGGGATACCATCCAGAGGGACCTTGACAGGTTGAGAGATGGGCCAGTGCAAACTCCATGAAGTCTAACAAGGCCAAACGCAAGGTCTTGCACTTGTATTGGGGCAATCCAAAGTACAAACACAGGCTTGCCAGAGTATGCATTGAGAGCAGACCTGAGGAGAAAGACTTGGGGATACTGGTGGATGAAACACTGGACATGAGCTGGCAATGTGTTCTTACAGCCCAGATGACCAAGCTGCATCCTGTGCTGCATCAAGAGCATGGCCAGCAGACCAAGGGAGGTGATTCTCCCTCTCTTCTCCACCTTCATGAGACCCTAGCTGGAGTCCCACATTCAGATTTGGAGTCCCCAGCACAAGAAGGACATCGACCTGTTCAAATAGGTTCAGAGGAAGGCCACCAAGATGATCAGAGAGCTGAAACACCTATGAGGACAGGCTGAGACAGCTGGGGTTGTTCAGGCTGGAGAAGAGAAGGCTCTGGGGAGACCTTACTGTGGCTTTCCAGTAACTGAAGGAGGCCTACAAGAAAGCTGAAGAAAGGACTTTTTACAAAGGCTTGTATTAATTGGAAAAGGGCAGATTAAGATTAGATGTAAGGAGGAAGTTTTCCATGATGAGGGTGGTGACACACTGGAAGAGGTTGCCCAGGGAAGCTGTGGCTATGCCTTCACTGGAGGTGTTCAAGACCAGGTTGGATGGGGCTTTGAGCAACCTGATCTAGCGGAAGGTGTCTCTGCCCACGGCAAAGGATTTAGAACTAGGTGCTCTTTAAGGTCCATTCCAAAGGATGCATGCTATGCTTCTACAATAAGTTAAAATCAAAACATTTTTTGATTTTAGTGCCCCACACTATTCTTCCAGCTTGATACATTGTAACTTTTTAAGCTGTGATTGCAAGCTTTCTTTGAAACTTAGCTATTTTTATTTTTAAAAATATTTTAGTGTTCTTGCAGTTCAAACATACATGCTTTTTTTTGGCTTGCACACTGAAAAATCAGACAAAAAAATAAAGTGGAGAAAAAAAACCAACCTAATCAACAGTGTAAAAGCATTGTCCGAAAAGCAACACCATACATAAGAAAAATTTTACATTTCCCTGTTTATATCAGATCAGAGAATTGGCATCGACTTTCAAACCTGTTCTATTTCTACAAACAGGGTGAAAATTTGACCAATGCCACTAAGAAGGACAAACAGTGATGAACTGAATACAAAGTAATTACCAGCAGGAGTGAAGTTCTTGGAAAAAAATTCAAGTTATCAAACAGAACAATATTTGGAAAGATTAGTACGAAGATAAGCAACAGAGTTGCAGAAATAAACACAGCTCTGCATGAATAGAAGGAACTATTTTTAGCAGAGGAGAAAACAGCTCCTGCACACTCTGCTGAAACTGCTTGTCAAATTATAGGATGGGAAATTTGAATCTGATGCAAAATCAGAAGCATGTACCTTGTACAGCGATTTGATGTCCAGATAAAAAGCAGAAACACCTATAAATGGAAACTTTTCAAGGTTGAAGAAGAGGGACTGATACTTATTGGGTTTTAGTGGTGTTTTTTGGTGTTTTTGTTTTTGTTTTTTTTTCCCCCCAAAGCTATAAATACACTGAACAGTATGCTGAGAAAACAATTCACAATTTCTTCATTTAACTTAAAATACCAGTTACTCAAAAACATTTGAGAAAGACATGATCAAGCCACTAATAATAAAAACTTAACAAATACAACAGGAATATCATTTTATACACTAGAAAAATCTGCACACTGGACTTGTTCAAACAAGACCCCATCTATAGATTTTCTGGACTGCTTCCACGTCTTATTTTCACATTCATAAAACAGGCACTAGCAGATCAGATTTAATAAGCAAGGGTTCTCCTCATCAATTTGTCACTGATTTTCTGGAGGAAAAACATGCCAGTGAACATGGATGAGTGAAGAAATATATACAAACCCCCCTGTTTCTCGGCAGAAACTCCTAAAAAAACCCACACCTTCCTAGAGATGGACTAGTAAATGAGTCTATTTCTCCACTCTGTGCTTATCAGGCTATTCCCATGGCAAGCTGTATTTATTAGTGGTAATAATACAGCATAGGAAGATACACGCGTAGATGCACGAAGCAGGAGAGGAGAAAGTGAAGGTAAGCTAGAAGTGGATGAAGACTTCAAATTCACTAAAATTCAGATGAGTTTATGTAATAAATTAGGTCCAAAAAACATTTATGTAGTTTTGTGAAAGCCAAAGTATTTGACGTAAAGAAATCCAAATTATGTTACTTGAAGCCAGTAAAAATAACTGTAACAAAGCCTGAATAATTTCTTAAACAGACAAAAAAGAGAACAGTCTTCTCCAACTCAGTTCTTAAACTTCAGGACAAAAGGTTTTGAAGTAGTTTCAACAGAATTATTTGCCTCATACACCTCCCTTAACACTTCTGTAGTCACATCTCTTTTTCAAGTAACAATGCCCTTTGATTTTAGACATCTCTCTCCTCCGCACCTTTTCCCCCCCTCTATGAGAAATCAACACTGCACAAAATGCTGACAGAAAGGAAAAATTATTCCCCTCCCATTATAATAATTATGGTGATCTCAGACATTCCATGAAATTTGTGAAATGAAATTTAAAGCATTGATGTCTGCAATGATGTTTTTCATCTTTGCCTACCGTAGTTCACTTTTACTACCAGAAGACACATAAAACTTAAACTCTCTTTCCACTACCTGCAGCAAATTTGACTCCAAACCACCAGGTCCATGGCACGATGGAATGATGAAAGACATGCAGGAATGTAATTTGGTTGCTTTTCTTACGTAGCACAAAAAATATCTGAAACAGATTTTTAATGAACACAGTGTTACAGGAGATAATCAAGCTAAACACACTTACAGAAAACTGGATGCATCAGTACTGGTTGCTCACTACTGTACATTTAAAATTTCTTCACAGTTGCAGTCTTGGAATAGGAAGGGAAACTGAGGCTCTGGATTTGCAGACTACTTTTCAAAAACAAACTTCGGAACATTTTTTTTTGCCTTTTTTTTTTTTTTAAAATTTGAAAGCAAATGTCCACAGTTGAGCCAACACCTATGTGTGCCACAGACAGTGTAAGATGGACTTGCTTGGACTGAGAAGTAACTAGAAGCATCAGTTTTTAAGTACACTGAACTACTAATACAAGACCATTCAAGAAAATTAGCCAAAGGGCTGGCAATAGATAGAGACAGCAGAAATATACTAAGTTAGAGAATTAGCACTTTATTATGAACACTGACTTCGCTACCCATGGCAAAAAGGCAAAACTGGAGAGGATATATGGATGTATTAATATTGATGGGCCACATTTTAAAGGACAGACATTAAGGGAAGTGTTATGGGAAAACAGAACAAAGAAAAGTGTGTAAGGAGAAGTCAGGTCATGCAAAAGCAGTATCAGACAGCAAGCAAATGAATTGAATAAGAGAAGTCTGGTTTGCCAGGGAAAACATTTGAAAACGGGTGACTTAAATATAGCCAAAAAACTACTTCTGCAATAAAACCAAAAAGCTGCTGAGAAGCAGGTACTTGATTGGGTGGATTCAAAGAGAATTTTTTTTTTTTAAAAAAAAAAAAAAAATTTCAGGCCCAGGGCTAGTTAAAGAGAAGCAGTCTAACCAGTGGGTATACTACAGCAAATAGAGAACTAAACTTGTCAGGCTTTTCAAGTTTTAGCATTCCTGGCCATTCCATTACCCTTCTGCTTGGCTCAGTCAGTAAGATCTTGCAGTGTTGAATCATGAGTATTTGCAGATGAAAGTCAGACGGATAACTTTGCTCGAAGGGTGTATGTAGAACGTCCAAACTGCTCATGAGTCAGCTCCTCAATCACCACTATTGTGACCCACACAGCAGTGTACAAAGACATTGCAGCTGATTCCAGCACTCAGGAACTGGTTTGAAAATAGCTAAACAACCCTACTAGGTGTCAGTTTTGAGAAGAGGGGAAGGCAGATAGCTGCTGGCAGTGATCAAGGTCTGCATTCTGCTTCAGCGCATTGCTGCTCAGACTCTCTTTGAAGCAGGTCAGAGTGCCAGCCCAATACCAAACTCATCTATAGTCATGACTGCCAAAGCAGAACAGGTAGGCATGGAAACTTATGTTGTATTCAGAGTTGCTGAGGCAAATGCACAATGTGGAAGATAAAATCTGAATATGACATGGAAAAAAAATCAAGCATGATCAACGCTATTTTTTATCTTCAGTATTGAGACAACCATCGCTATAGCACAACAGGTTTGTATAGCCAGCTGTTAAACAGACAAGTTATGAGGGCTTCCTAAATGTTTAAAGGTGTGTTCCCTCATTAACATTTTTCCTGGTAATGAAGGAATGACAGTGCAATGGCACAGCAGATGAGAATAGATAATAAGAGTAAACACATTGATGGTATTCCCGTAATTGAAAACTGGAGGGATAAAAAAGCCATTTATGCCCCCAGCTCTCATAGCACCATTTTTTCAATGAAAAAAAGAAATATCACTACTTCTTTTATTAGGCTACAAATACTTACAGTGTCTAATAATTCAATGAACTTGGAAAAGTAGAAAATCCAACAAACTCGTACCATCTGCAAGAGTAAAAACCAGAAATTGTCAGTCATAGTAATCCATAAAACTGAGCAGCTGCAGGAAAAATAAGCAGCTATAAAAAGGGAAGTATTGGGATGAGAAAGCGGCATCAAAAGTCAGCAAAAATATTTAAAAGTAAAGTTTGTTTTGTATTTCTTTAAAAACACAGAATACTTTAATCCTGAAGGAATTCTAAAACCAGGAAGAAAAAGCCAACAAATACGCTGGCTCTTTCTTTCTCCCGAAACAATCAGCCCCTCCAGTTAACTCACATGGTCTACATTATGCAAGAGGGCATTTCTGTTTAGTGCATTGCACACTACAACAGTGTATTTGGGTGTTCAAAAAGCATTTCTAAAAATAAAGCCAGTGTAGCATAACAATTCAACTTTGTGTTTGGCAACTTACTCTTAGAGCTGTAGGTGACCTTGAGTAGTCAACGATATCACACCGGAATGAGTATTCTGTGGCCCAACCAGACATAAGAAACTGAAGGAAACAAAATGGAAAAGGCCAAGATTTACTTTATGTCATTTGAAAAATTTGTTAATTTCAGATTGCTTTTGCAATCAGTAAGCAGGAGGAGAAAACAATATTAAAAACTTATTGAATCAGCAACCTTGTCAATCATCTACTTCTGTGTGGGCTAAGAACCGTAAAATCTGTTGTTGCTGTAGCAGACAAATTAATTTCTAATTCCACACTTTTAGACAAAAACTTTCTTCCTACCCATTATTTCAGCATTAGTAACCAAAAAGGTTTTGAAAGGTTTTTTTGCAGCTATTTCTCCTATGTTAAAAAGGCAATTTAATGTGTAAATTGGACCACATAAACGAAACAAACTTTTTTTAAAATTGCTATCACAGCCAACCATCTTAATACTGAGGAGAAAACAGCACAGCATCTTAATACAGCATAACAGAAAAACAGTTTGTTAAAGACAAAGAATGAATCAATATGCACTATATTTTTAATATCACAGTTTCTAAAATTTTGCTGAGCTGTATTACATGATCAATTAGTCTTTCACTGATAGAAGTAACAAGAAACTAGAGTTTTACAGTCCATAAAACATGTATGACCAAAGGATTGTATGTAACAAATACAATTTAATCTTTTCTCTAGGAATATAATAAAGTTAGGACAAGAGCAACATTGTTAACATCACACTTGGTTCATTCCACTGCCAGCAACTAGGACTACTGTATCTTATATCTGTTTATAAAGTGCTTCTCATCCATTGATCATCGTCATCATCATCCACTTATTCACAATAGGAGATTTAGCTCTCTTAACAGATGGAGGATTTTAGTCTGTTTAACTTCCTAAAACAATCAGTTTCTTAAATAAAATAAAATTTGAAATATCACCAAGACAGCACTCACCAAATGGCTTGGTTCCAAAGAGGGAAAGAATCAGCCTTTTGCTGAGCATAAGACAATAGCAGAAATTTAATCTGTTACACTACATCCATGCATTCTTTCATGAAACTATAACATGGAAGTCTTGACAACAGATCAACTAAATGTCAGACACTAACAGAATTTTTTTTTTTTTTTTTTTTTTTTTGTTCCTAAGGGTTACAACTGAAAAACAAACCTGGCATCAAATCACAACAGGATGTTTGACAAATTTTCAAAACAAAGTCTAGATAGCAAGCATGTACATCTTGCCCACTGCTTTCCACACAACAGTCATGACAAAGTAGCTGCTGCTGCACTACCTACAGAGTGCTGTGAAAAGAAATGTTAAGCAGTTCACTGTAAGTCATAATAAAATTTATGCAAATCAAGCTATCAGTACGGCTCAACTTTTCATTACCAGTTTGCCAAATCTGAAATAGCCTCTTAAGCAGACTTAACAAAAAAGTCAGTACTAGCATAGTGATGCTCCACCAAGCAAATGTATAAGCCTATCATACACACAATACTACTGTTATATAGCTACACTTTAGAAAAAAAATAAAAACTCCACACCAAACCAACCATTAAAAACACCAACACCCAGAAAAACAAACAAAACCCAAAAAAACCACACCCCCCCCCAAAAAAAGCCCCAAACCAACAACAAACCAACCAACAAAACCAAAATAAAAACCCTCAGACATTAGCTATGTTAAAGTTTAGGGTTCTAAATGAAAGCTTCTACATAGTCTACACCATTCATGGTTAAGGATTTTTAGGTCATCCAAACCATAATGCTATAAAACTTGCCAGGCTTTCCAGTCTTAAGTCTAACATTTGCTTAAGCTATGAACCAAAGCAACAGCTCCACGTTCCTTCTGAGGTTTGCTGTTCTGTGGTTGGGGTGGTGGGAATCAATGCTAAAGATTTTCATGGTTTGGTTTTTGCACTTGGGTGTTGTTTTGATGTTGTTGGTTGTTTTTTTAATATTTAAACAATGCAGATCCCCAAATCAAATTTTGTTAACTTCTGTCATTTAAAAAGGTAGATCTAACTGAAGACTATTCCATAGTAAATATACTCTATACAGTGTTTGAAGCATCAGTGTTGACTATAATCTAGTAGGGTAAAAACAATTAAAACAGATTGAAAAAAATAGTTTGCTTTACCTGCTACAGCCTAGGGAAATTAAAAATTACAAATCCTCATGAAGTATTTAAGTTCTCCATAATGACACAAAATAATCTGCAGTCTTTCTAAGAATGACTTATTCCCTTTATTTCAAGTATCAATTCAGTTAGTTTAGCATACTACTTGGAGGAATATAATTGCAGAATGGGAATTATATTAATAAATTTATTAAAAGTTAGTAGTTAGACACAGAAATATAAACACATCACAAATAAAAGTAGTACTTACTTCATAAGTCATATATAAGGAGAGGGCTACCATACTAAAATTGTATAATACCATTATCTGCCTGAGTTCAAAAGGTTTTTTATTTTCCATGAGTTTGGGTCCCAAGGAAGTGGCAAAATAAATGTAGGTTCCAATGATAAAGGTTGTTGGAAAAGGTGACGACATGAGAGGCCAGCCTTCCAGTCTTGGATCTAGAGGGGGGGAATTAAAAAAAAAAAAAAAAAATCACATCTTGCCAATACTTAAACCCTACAATAGCTACAGAGAGGAATTTAGTTCCTAATGGTTTAAGTTTTGCTGTCATTGACCATGTTTCAGAGTCCATTCACCTCAAATCCATATCGACTGGATAATAAGTAGGATTGTTAACCTACAAGTACCTGTAGGATGTGACGCTTCTTCCACATCAATTCTTCACATGTAATGAAGAGCAGATACAGACTCATGAGTAATGCAGCTATCTATCTAGAGCTGTCCTGCATGAAAAGTCTGCATTTTCACACATGAACGAGGCTCAAAGGGCATCACAGGAGGACAATGCACAAGCAGATCACTAAGGCTGCATTTCCACCTGAGACTTCATTCTTCTGGAAAGGCAGAAACCTATCTTCACAAGTTTGAGTCAGGGACAGCAAGTAGCTCCACTTTTCAAGATCCTTGAGCTTTATAAGCAGTATGACTTTTGACATAGTAAATACAGGGATTTTAAAGACAGAAGGCTTTCTGTCCCATCAGTTGGTATTCATAGCTTAGAACTTGAACCTTGTGCCTACCCAGTGTAGACACATCAACACTTTCACAGCACCATAAAGGACACAATTTCATATTAAAAAATTCCAAATATTGAAAGTGTTGCGAGTTCCTCTTCAGTTATCCCAGACAGAAGTATCTCAGAGAGTCCTTGTCCTGTGCCTCTCCCCACAGCTGATGCTGGCAAGCTGAGCTTCACCAGGATTCCACTGCACCCTTCTATGGTTCATAAAGTCCCAGAGCTCACCAAAAACATCTATCCACAAGCAGAAATGACACGAACATAATATTTAAAAAAAAAAAAAAATATAAGCTGACTTTTGATTTATTTCTGAATGACCCCAAACTTCACTAGTGACTCAGGAAACTACTGCTTTCAGAGTCTGCTGCTGTATTTTGGGAGCAAAATTATACCACTGCATTTTTTTCTTAAGTCTTTAATTCATGGCCAAGTGTCAAGTCAGTGATTTTTAGCCCACAGCATTCAAGCAACCTCTCACCCATGAGACTCTATGTTGTTTACAGCAACTGGAAACTCTCAAACAGACTGAGGAAAGCACATTATAATGACGTCACAGGTTGTAATGTGCCTAGTGCTCCCATCCACAAACCAGCAAGGATTGTGAATGGCAGCACTAGGCATCTGTATGTGTTGCACCAGAAGAGAATCACCATCTCTTCATAGCTGACTTTTTTTTCTGCATCAACCCCTTGCATTCGTGCTACTGAAACTCTCCCACTGATCTTCCCAGCTTGATCCCGATGAAACCATGCCCTGCCACTAACCGTACGCTACAAGATGGCAAACACAATTTGGCAGGGAGACAAGGAGTTCAAATTCTGAAGTCACAAACAGGACAACAGAAATGTTTCATCCCAATCCTATTTATCCCACAAGTCATACTGAAACTCCCTTTTCATTTGCATGCTGTGGTTCTACAAAATAAAAGAAACGGTTCTTAGCTATATTGGAAAAGATAAATTAGTAATTTTATCAAACTAACTTTTTCTAATGTTTTCCTCAGGAATCAGTTAATCCCTGTCACTAGGTGCCTAGCACAGTGGGGAACACTCAGGAAACACTACTGTGACCGATGAGTCTTAACCCCAGACCTGAGATCTGTCATTTTTTGGTAAGCACAAAAACAATGTTAAAGCAAACTGTGTTTAGTATCTTCATACCAACTGCAACAAAAGACTGACATTCTTTTCAAAACAAAACTGTGACAGAGTTAATCGCTCTGAGGATTAATTTCGATGTACCATAACTTAACAGGGTTTTCATTTCTTTCACTTAGCAAAGGCAAAATCAATACCACCATGCACTTAGCTCAATTAACTAATGATACCATTGTTCAGTAAGGAGAAAGAGTTAAAGTTTTACATTCAGCAATTACATATTCAGGCAACTAGAGAACCCTTACACAAGAACTACTGTCCACACTTTTAGTCTGAGTGAAACAGAAACTGGCTGAGATTTACTGTTTGTGTTGTTTTGTTTTGTTTGTTTGTTTTTTTTCATTTTTTGTTTGTTTGTTTTTGTTTGTTTGTTTGTTTGGTTTTGTTTTGTTTTGTTTTTTTTAAATACAGAAACTAGTCTGTTCTTTATAGTTAAAAATATCAGTAGGTAACCTGGCAGGTCTTAGAAACTTTTACAGGAAGACAAAGCTACTTGAACTTGATAAACAGTACACCGAGAATAGCTACACATTGTTATTCAAAGTCATTGAAAGGTAATAAGTTTTACATTTAAATGACTCACCGGCATCTTTCATCCATTCATCGTACAGTAGTACAGCCTTTGATGTCAGATTGCTAAAGGCCATTTTCACTTGATTAAGATTTTATGATACTGCCTGCAGGAAAACAAATTAAAACAGAAATATGGAATTTTGCAATAAATAAAATAAGGGTCAGTAAAGTGTTTTGGAAGAGATTCTCAAGAAACAGAATGGAAAAAAATAGAGCGGGCTAACAGAGTACCACATGTGAAATACAGATCAGGGAACTTTAGCTGACCACATTGCACTATTCTTGGGCCTTATTTATAGCTGAGCTGTTACACACCATAATATGACTTTATAATCTCTACATACAAAACAAGGTGCTTCCATGCCATCACACATTATCTCAAGCAACCACACTGTACTTAACCATCACAGCTGGGGGCAGGAAAATAAGGAGAAGCTGCTTAAATTAATTTTTATTACCATCTCCACTTTAAGTCCAAGTCACTGATATGTGAAGGAGTTCACCTTTGCAACATTTACTACTGAAACTTAATTTTCTAACTAAGAAGTACTTCTAAGGTAGGAGGGAAGGAGGAAGGGTGCCACTATGTCTACATACTCCTTTTAAATACATTAATTAGCTACACTATAGTTGGTATGCAAATAAGCTATTTCCACACCAGGATCATGAAGTGTCATAGTACCACTGGTGGTACATTAACTCACAAAAATTATCCAGCACATCCAGTTTGCATGCAGCACCACCTACATAAGTAAAACTTTCCAAAGAAGTATGCTTATATGAATAGCGATTTTTTGCTTCAAAAATCAAGTATTTATCAGCCCTACCCTTGCCTCAATCCCTTTAGAAAATACCTACTAAAAATCTCAATACATTTGAATGGCATCTCTTCTATTTCCACTCAGTCTTTCATGTCATCCATATGGTTTCTCTCCATACCCCTGTGCAATCTTCACGCTGTATTCACCTTTATTAGGTCTGACTGAAGCACACCTTGATAATCAGCTCCCTTCCTCTGGCTGCCCTTCTGCAGCTCCTCCAGGCTAAGCCAGCTGCAGGTTTGGAGAGCCCAGCCTGCCCTCATGATGGCAATACATCTCTCTCCTCAGATCTCTCCACTATCATCTTCTCATCTGATTTCACTGCCAGTTAGCTGTCCTGCTCTCATGCTGATGAAGATGTTACTGGAACTCAGACTGGCTAGCTCAACGTGCTGACCAAAACTTAAGATAAACAAGTAAACTACTGCTTCAAAACATGCTACCAAAAATCCAGAAAATCCTGTGTGGATGCTGGCTCAAAATTAATTGTTATTTATGGGCTTGCAGGGCATTCACTGACTTTTCCTCCCTCTTAAAGTGAAAACCTTTCATCCCAACAGCCTCACAAATAGACAACTCTTTACATTTATCCACTTGACTTGTCAACATCACTTTAATTTTGTATTAGGAGTCAGGCAAATGTGCTGTCAATGTTTAGACAGCAACTCTTATGCCTGCTAGGCACTGGGACCAAAAGCAAGCTCTTTACCTGGAACCAGACTTTTTCCAGTAGATTGCTTCTGCTCATAGTAGAAAGGCAGCAGATAAAAAGAGTAAATCCTCAGGTTTCCCAGCCCTTTTCATACTGATGGAGAAGCATTTGTCCCACCTCTCCTGACCCCAGCACTTGCAGATCATCTCCCTCTAAAACATTTTACAAGAGCTATGACAGCAGCTTTCTTTTTGTTAACAGAAGAGTAAAAAAATCCCATACATCCAGGCACAAAATAAACAACTAGCTTGTTTTTCAGGGAAAAAAAAAAAAAGAAAAGACTGCCTTTTGTTTTTTTAAATGGTACAACTGTGTTGTTAAGAAGTAACCTGATAATGCTTTGATCGTAATACAATCTTCCATAATCTTTGGCACTTTTGAAGTCTGTGGAACTTATCCTCTAAATGTAAGGCTGGAAATATTTGGCCTGACAGGACAAAGACCTGGGGGCAGAGGCCATTTACTAAATATGCAGCTCTAGTTCTTCATACTGGAAACTCATCCACACTTCAAGCATTTGTATAATCATAGTTCAGTCAGAAAAATATACACTTATTTTACATACTTACAGAATCAGCACATCAGCACTTATTTCCAGTGTTCTATTTGCTGCTCAAAAAAAAAAATTACATAATGCAACTAAAATGCACTAACAGCAGGGAATTATCTTTTTAAAACAGAGAAATTAGGGAAGTCACACTCGCAGACTAATTTTCAAAATCAGGTTATTTTAAATTATATACTTTAAAAAATGCAGTCATGTAAGTTCACTTCGCCCAGCTTGAAAAGTTCCAAAAAACACAGAGGCAGTCCTTGTATTTGGACAGCAAGCACTGAAATCATCTCCAAAGCATATGCAAGGTATTCAGCTCTTAGAAAGAAATAAGCACTTTTTTTTTTTTTCCCTTTTCATTTTAAAATGTCAAGGGAAGTAAAACTGTGTGTCTAGGTCTAAGCCGGCTATACTAATATAATTTCTAAAGACATCTTTAAGCAAATGTGTCTTCGCCATTAAAAAAATAGGGGGTGTGAGGCAAAGGAGGGAAGGCAGTGTGTTCAAAGAGCACAGTCATTTGCTGGCCTCTGGGTCCCTGCAGCTCAGCAGACAGTCAAAAAATCCTACTAACTGCAGCTGAGTGAAGGTATACAGCTTGGCAGAACCAATTTCAAGTTGCACCATTACCTTTCCTGGGGAGGCAAGAGTAGGCAAGATCATTTGCACCAGCCAAAAATGCCACAAGTACTACAGTGAACCATATAAGTGCGCCTCATGATGACAAGTAGTAGGTAGTAAATTGTTGGAAGTGCTCAGTTTGGTTAGCACACAAGTATTAGTGATCCTTGTAATGAGAATTACTGGTATGCCTCAAACATTCCTTATTTTTAAATGAGAACAAGAAGTGTCTCACATTCCTTCACTTAACCCACATGAAAGATACTTGCCATTTTTGATGCTCATTTATTCCCCCTACACAGATTTTAAGTATTAAAAAGAATTTAAATATTTTCTTTTAAATCGTAATTTTACAAAAAGTGTTTTATGTTGATGACTAATGAACAAAGCAAATAAACAAAGGAACTTGACAGAAAACCAAGCAAAACGAAAAAATCTAGTGCAAGCTCTGACACTCCAATAAGCAAATTCTGAAACTGAGTGGGAATTTAAAACACTTACAATTAATAATTTTCTTTTGAAAACAAAGCTAATTATTCAGAAGACAGATAAGATACTTTTAAGGGGACCCTTTAGCAAAAGACTGGAGAATATGACAATACAGTACAAAGTACAATTGGATAATTTCCACCCAAAGCAGATGCCAAAGGTAAAGATTCCAGAGCATCACCCCCTGGCCCAGCAAGCAGGTAATGATGAGGGAACCCTCCACCCCACAGAGCCAGCTGGAATATAGGGGCAGCCTACAAGAAAGCATTGACCCGTGCAGGTCTGATTTCACAAATGATAGCTTAAGAAGTGACAGTAATACTGGCTTACATGTTCAGGCACCATTATGAAACCTACAAGTTTCAGAATCACTTGGTATACTGTTGTTAATTCTGCTCTTGAAGTTCAAGAGGTAATTAAAGATGTTTCACAGATGTTATCTTAGGCTTTCGTTGGGAAATATTAGCTCTGCCCTTCCTATTTCTCAGTACTGTGTGCTTACATAACTGCAGTTACTTTAATGACCTTACTCCTTTATGCCACATAGCAAACAAATACAAACTGCCTCCTACATTAGATGGATTACCTATATTCTGCAACAGAGTTTCAAATTTCAGACATGTGTTCCCTGTTTTTACAGGTTTCCTTGAGAGACATTTTCATCACCTACCCCAGCCCTTAGGCCTTCTCTTAAGCACCCAGCTCATTCTTTGAAAGATTCATCTCTCATAGGCAACTTGGCTACATGTGGCTAAATGTTAGGTGACCTCTTCTTTTTTGATAATATTTATTGTAAATGCTCTTCCTATTAGATGACAGCTCTGCCCAAGTGAATGACAGAAAGCAGGCAAGGCAACTCTATGCAACAGAGGCACTTTCAGAAACCTCCAAGTTTTCAGAGATGTATTATTACCTTTATTAAATTTCAGACTTTGTTTTTGGAGCCAATCCATTTTAAAACACAAATTCTAACTCCTTAGAATGCATCAACAATCTCTGCACATACATTTTAGAGTAAACACTGCGGGGAGAATAGCACATTTTCAAAATAAACAAAAATGTGAAAAATATTTAGAAATTCTATCAGAATGTTTACTTGCAATATTCCTATTGGCAGTATTCAACATGATACCTAATACTTAGTGTGGTCACCCTTAATGAATCAAAGAGTACTTCTTTATTTACCGTTTTGCTTTTTAAATTAGCATCAAATCTGTTGTTCACCTACATGAATGAAGTAGCCTGTAAGCAGCAGTAGTGAAAACATGCTTCATCTCAATCACACTTCAGATTTTCTGTGAGATTAATGGATTTCCCATTCTGACGCTGCATAAAACACAGATCAAATAGTATAACTTTCCAAACATGACTATAAATTGCTAAAAGTACTTATACTGCAGACATCACAGCAAGGCTGAACACTAGAAAGAGGCACAGGAAAGCCCCTTTCTATGGGAACTATTTCAGGAGTACAGCCCCATATTGTGCCCAAATCCCAGCCAGAATCATTCTCCTGGTCCACATACTCTGACCCAGTCACCAGCGATGGCTGAACAGGGAAAGCCCAGTGTGCAGTCCTACAGCGCCACTGCTGACAGGTCTGGTCCTCAGGCAGCTGCAGCGTAAGTAACAGCAGCTCACAGACCCAGCTGAAAACTTAGTCTTTTGAGAAAAAAAAAAAAAAAAATTGAACAGGCTCATGCAAAGGAAGCACACACGAACTGGGATGCCGCAGGCAGGGAAGACGGTCAGGAGTAGCAGGCTCATCACAGATCCCTTTAAGCTAATAGTGAAATTATGTAGGAAGGACAGAGGACCATCATGTCCAGTACTGCATACTCATAGACAATCATGTACTAGATCTGTAGTCAAGAAGTTCACACACTGCACCTCAGCACGTTATCACTTTGCTATCACAAGCCAACAGGGACACTACAAAATGAAAGCAGAAGCCATAAAAATTACACTGTGCTATGGTAAGGCAGGAAAAGATCTGGCATTGCCAGTATATTTAGTATCTATCTTCAGTGCAACACTTGGGGTGT